GGGGGGAAGCGGCATTTTTCGGCTTTGACTCATCCCTGAATTCCCCGGATTTGGAGATTCCGGCTATGAACTCTTCATTCCTGACTAGAAGGTTCTGGAAGTGATCCGGGAGGGCAGAGCGTGTCCTCTGACCTGGAGTTGCCCAGCCGGCAGTCCTCCCCGTAGAGGGCGTACAGGACCCTGTTGCAGTTGTCCAGCAGAGATTTCGGGGTCACCGCTTTGACTTTGTCCTCCGAATTGTGCAGCCTGTCCACGATCTTCACCACCTCCTCGCTCTTCATCTCCTGCAAGACAGACACACACCGGACCTTAGAACAATGGTAGGCGACCTCCAGCTGTGGTGGCACTACAAGCCCCAGGGAGGCATTGCGCAGCCAGGACTCCCGGAGATGACGGGATTTGTAGTTTCAGCACAGCTGCAGTGACAACGTTATTCTACGTCCGGACACGTGAGAGCGGGGTTCAGGAAAGTCACATGACACGTCGGTTCAGGAAAGTCACATGACACGTCGGTTCAGGAAAGTCACATGACACGTCGGTTCAGGAAAGTCACATGACACGTCGGTTCAGGAAAGTCACATGACACGTCGGTTCAGGAAAGTCACATGACACGTCAGGAACGACTCCGATCATTCACTTATTCCCAGGGGTTAACGGGTCGGAATTCCTCTGCAGCTGATCGCACTTAGTCAGGGTGACGCTCTGCAGGTCTGGGAGTGTTGGGGGGGGGGGTCACCCGGCATGTGATACATCGGACTGTAACGCGGGCGATTTCCTGCTCACGGCGCCAAGGGGAGGGGCCCGGAAATTTCCCACGTGGGAGGTCGGGGTGCACCGGGAGGAAGAATGTTATCCTGACCCAAATATCAAAACCCTTCGGACGGGACATTGAGGAGACCAGAGGGGGGGCGGGGATCATGGAGTGCAGTTGTTGGGATGCCAGGAAGTAAGATGGCGGCTCTCGGAGAAGGTCGGAGGTCACATTGTTGTCTTACCTCCTCGGCTGTCCCGCGCAGCAGAACGTTGAATATTCCCTGCAGCTCCGCGATGAACGGGCGGGTCGGGTGTCTCTCCAGCAGCGCCCTCTGGATGGTCTGCAGGATACTCTCATTGACGATCCCCCACAGATAACGCAATTCCTTCACCGTGATCCCTTTACTGATCTGCAGGACACGGACATCTCCCGTCACAGCTCGCAGGACGGGAACCCGACACAAACCAACTTCAGATTATAAAGCGGAGAAGAGGGGAGCAGAGTAGAGGGGGGTAGGGAAGAGGGGAGCAGAGCCGAGAAGAGGGGAGCCTAGAAGAGGGGAGCCGAGAAGAGGGGAGCCGAGAAGAGGGGAGCGGAGCCGAGAAGAGGGGAGAAGAGGGGAGCCGAGAAGAGGGGAGCCCGAGAAGAGGGGAGCAGAGCCGAGAAGAGGGGAGCCGAGAAGAGGGGAACGGAGCCGAGAAGAGGGGAGCCGAGAAGAGGGGAGCCGAGAAGAGGGGAACGGAGCCGAGAAGAGGGGAGCAGAGCTGAGAAGAGAAGAGGGGAGCAGAGCTGAGAAGAGAAGAGGGGAGCAGAGCTGAGAAGAGAAGAGCAGAGCTGATAAGAGAAGAGCTGAGAAGAGAAGAGGGGAGCGGAGCCGAGAAGAGAGGAACAGAGCTGAGAAGAGAAGAGGGGAGCAGAGCTGAGAAGAGAAGAGGGGAGCGGAGCTGAGAAGAGAAGAGGGAAGCAGAGCTGAGAAGAGAAGAGGGGAGCAGAGCTGAGAAGAGAAGAGGGGAGCAGAGCTGAGAGGAGGGGAGCAGAGCTGAGAAGAGGGGAGCCGAGAAGAGGGGAGCGGAGCCGAGAAGAGGGGAGCGGAGCTGAGAAGAGAAGAGCAGAGCTGAGAAGAGAAGAGGGGAGCAGAGCAGAGAAGAGAAGAGGGGAGCAGAGCTGAGAAGAGAAGAGCAGAGATGAGAAGAGGGGAGCGGAGCTGAGAAGAGAAGAGCAGAGCTGAGAAGAGAAGAGCAGAGCTGAGAAGAGGGGAGCAGAGCTGAGAAGAGAAGAGCAGAGCTGAGAAGAGAAGAGCAGAGCTGAGAAGAGAAGAGGGGAGCAGAGCTGAGAAGAGAAGAGGGGAGCGGAGCTGAGAAGAGAACAGCAGAGCTGAGAAGAGAAGAGGGGAGCAGAGCTGAGAAGAGGGGAGCAGAGCTGAGTAGAGGGGAGCAGAGCTGAGAAGAGGGGAGCAGAGCTGAGAAGAGGGGAGCAGAACTGAGTAGAGGGGAGCAGAGCTGAGAAGAGAGGAGC